TCAGTGTTTTACACCCATTATTTTTATCTTGCCATATTACTGAAATTCTGTAACTTTTGAAAGAAACATTCGCTGCACAAAAGAACCTCCATGAAGATATTTCCTTTTTATCAATATTTGCAAATTCTGCTGCGAAGATGTAATCTAAGAAAAGCTTTTACTGGCTTGCACACGCAGCATTTGAACTCAATTGTATTTCGTATCCTGCCTGGTAATTTAGCAAATGACTATTGGACTAGATTAAGAAGCAAATAATACTTGAGATGTACTTCGCTTCTCTTGTTGGGACAGTTACTGTGATACTGTTGCCTACAGTCACAAGTTTTTCAAAATATTTGGTCTTAAGTAATAGAGGGGCAAGCTTCAGTGAAATGATCCTTTGCAAAGCTGTTAATTTCTTCTCTGAAGTGTCCCTTTTGAAGAGGGAACATCGGTGTTGGCTTTGCCTCATAGCAAGGTCAAGTCATTTTTGTAGAAGGTGAAATGTATGCTATGTCACACTAGCGAGATATTCTTTTGTGGGCCATCTGCACTGGCTTTGAATGAATTGCCTTGTTTTATTTCATACTGTCCCTCTTACAGTATGGGAAGCGGTTGTTCATTTGCTGGGCTTACTGTTTCCTTCCCATGCTTTATTTCAGACATGCTTGCTCTTCTGGGCAAATTCTCCTATGACTCCCAAAAAAACAAACAAACCAGTTGTGGTGGAGTCCATCCCAACTCATAGTGACCCTATAAGACATAGTAGAACTGCCCCCATAGGGTTTCCAAGGAGCGGCTGGTGGATTTGAACTGCTGACTATTTGGTTAGCAGCATCATCTCTTAACGACTCCACCACCAGGGTGCCTCTCCTATGAGAGCAGGCATAAAAGGAACCCAGTAAGCCCTCGTATTTAAATAAATAATTCAACAAATATTTATCGATTATTTACTGTAAAGGGGGAGCAGAATTCTTCTTGTCTCCTTCAGAGGCCACAAACATTTATCTTTCATTATGGAATTTGGTGATTGAACTAAATCTTTGAACTCATTTGTTAACCTGTACAGGGGATCTCTATGAGTTGGAATTGACTCGACAGCAACTAACGACAGCATAGTGATATAGGTACTAATAAGTTTTGTCTTCTTTGTCCTGTGGAGGCAGCCTTAAGTCCCAAAGGGGAGTGTGAAAAACCTGAGGGTGTGCACACCTCCCACTCCCCACTTACTGACTGCTAAACCAGTTAGAGTGCCCGGAATGTGTTGGCTACATTTCATTGTCTAACAAGAAAAAAGATGTGAGCCTGTTGTCACATTTCAAGATGTTTTCAGAAAGTTTAAATGCATGAGTATATGGAGAGTCAGTGACGGGGAGAAAAGAAACTATGTAGTAGGGTCCCCATCCCCAAAGAAAAAAGGACTAGGAACTCATTGTCTTCCCATTTGTCCCCATGTTAGTTTCACATGAAGAAACTGAAGCAGTGAGGGGAATTAACTTGCCTGGTGACTGCAGGCTATTAGGCGGGCTGGCTTAAGAACCACTGCCCTGGCTTTCTTCAGCACGTTACCGCTTTTCTCCTCTTTCTTTTTTGTAGATGTCCTTAACACATTATTAGAGCTAATACTGAATTCTCCCAGACACCTGGCTGTGTTTAATTTGCTTTCTTAAGGACTCAGCAAGGATATGTGTATACACACACTCTCTGTCTCTGTCTTTCTTTTAAATACTGTCTATTTTGCTGATGTGAATGATAGAAATTCAAATTCCCAGCTTAGTTGGTTTGCTTAGTTGCTAACTCTAAATGTATTTTTGTTAGTGCTGTAGTTGTAAATAAACTCAAGGGGTTGATCCAAAGGAAACATAGACTTGGTAATATTTTAGTTACATTTATTAAACTTCAACCTAGTGAGGAAAGGACTAGAACTAATAATTTTGAGTCCCTGCCCTGCAGATTCTTTGGTTAACAGTCATATTTTCCTGAGCCGTACTAAGCCCTAAACTCAAGCCTGTTTGACAACTTGGATTTGTAATGAAAACAGGTCAGATTTTATGTTGGCTGTTAGCCCCAGTAAATTTCTAGTGGAAACTACACTTACCCCTATAAATAATGGGAAATATTTTCTTTTTGGCTTTGATACTGTGTGGCTATTTTAAAAAATTGCGATTGGCTGCTCATTTTTTCTTGGTCACACTAGAATTCTCTCCCAGCTTTAGTAATTATAGTGGCAAATGCTGTTAATAACACTGGACACTAATTTACTAGTGTTTGTTTGGATTTACTACATGTGCTGTCTGAAACTAAGTGGGAAATGTTACTGAAAAAACATGTAACAATTTGGAAATGTTACAGGAAACTTGACTATAGTGAACTGAGTACACCATTAAGGTGTCTGGTTCTGGTTTAATACCTTGGTTTTAAGTAAGGATCACTGTGTCTTGCTGATACCTTGCATCTCTAGGGCTCCAAGGCTGTTGGGAATTCCCTTAGACTAGTCTCAATTCAGTGTGTCTAGAATCTGAAGTTGGTCTCTGTAGACTCTGAGTAGTTAGTAACTGTTTTTATTGAAACTTGGACTACAATTTAATAAATCAACATAGCTATGTCATGACTAGATTTCTGATGTTTTAAAAATGAAAGGTGGATTTTAAAATGGAATTTTAGGCATTTGTAAAAAGTAAATATCTGTCCAACTGAGCATTACTTAGGGGAATATACAGAGGGTAAGAAGGAGGTTTCCTGGTCCTGTCCATGTAAACTGTTCATTGAGTACCCATTTATCAAGTGCTTCCTATATGCTTCCTATGTGCCAGGCACAGTGTTTGGCCCTGTACTTGTATTAGCCTGTCCTCAAGAAGTTACCATTAGGTAAGGTGAACCAAAAACATGAAAACAAGTGCAATGAGGTCTTGCAGGTACTTTGTCAGAAGCGTGTAAAGGGACACAGGAGGGAGAGATCAATTCTGTAGTTTTGGGGTTGACACACATAATCCTATTGTCTCCAGTCCTTTAGGTAAATTTCATAAACATTAAAATAAAATATAATGGTGATTTATATTGATTCTTATTAGAAAACAATAACTTTGTAATATGTTTTTTTAAGAATTTTGAACCATCAATTAATATTGAATGCCTATTGTATCCTAGAAACAAACTATTTAAAAAAGAGACTCCAGAATTTGACTGTGAGATCTGGAAAAGGTTCAACCATGTCTTCAAGGGAGAAAAGTTTCTTGTGAATTGAGCGTCAGGCATTATTGTCTGGTTAGACTTGCTGTAAAATGATGTTTGCGCAGGTATGTACAGGTTGGAGGCAGTGGAAGTGTGTAAAATGTTGTGAAGAGAAAGGTGTTAAAATCTGACTCAGGTACACTCTTGAAGCACAGGATATTCTGAGTGAGCAGTGTGATCAGCCGATCTGGCAGAACTGAGTAGAGAATTGTCAAGTTGAAGAAATAACGTCATTACTTACTGAAAACCTTTGTGGATTTGTATATATAGAAAAGAGTGTCTGGTATAGTAAACAGACATCACGCAAGACAGCAGTGTTTATTGGAGGACTTGGTGCTTCTGGAAACTTTTCTGGGTTTTTAACCAAGGGAATTAATAAATGGGAAGTGCTGTAGACCCTGCTTTTAGATAGAAGTAATAGCTCAGTCTGGAAGGGTAACTTCCTGCTGGAGCTAAAGAGAGGAGGGAGTTGCCTGGCAGCCTCCATATCGTAAGTCAGGATATCAGGAGAAGAAAAAGTACTCGCTGCTGGATAATTATGGATTGCTGTCTGTTTAAAACTCCCTTAGAGCTTCCACTTTTTAAGCCTGAACTCTAATCCTTGTTTCATAGATCCCTTGTTTTCTATTTTCTATGAATATTCCTCCCTACCGTAGATTCTTAACCTCTTAGTCTCAAGAATTAACTTCTTTCTCTTTGTGTGTCTTCCTAGTTGTGTTAAGTATTGCAGTCCACCCCCATCCTCAGGAAATCTTTTTGAGGTTATAGCACACTATTTACCCTGCCTCAACTTGTTTACATGTAAAGCTCACAAATGAATTGTTGATTTCCAATACTTCTAATTTTCTTTTAATTAAAAAAATAATCACCAGCTTCTTAATTCTCTTTAAAATTTTGTTTCTCCCTCTACCTCTCTGTTGGACCTGCCAGCCTACCCCTGCTGCTGCCCTTCTTTGGTCTTGGCTTCTGTGGTGTCACTCTTTTGTTTTTTTCCAATCCTTTTAAAGGCTCCTTTGCTGGCTTCCCTTCTCCTCACTGTGCTTGATTAGGCCGACTTGCTGAGGATCAATCCCTGATCCTCTTTTCTTCCCCTTTTCCCCTTTACTTACTTATTCCTCATGTCCTTTCTCCTTCTCCAGTTTTTTATTTAAACTCTCATGGATCACAATGTCTGATCTGCAGCCAATCCTGGGGATGGCAACAGGACTGGGCAGCGTTTCGTCCCCTTGTGCGTGGGGTCGCCATGAGTCTGGGGCTGCTCGTTGGCAGCTAACAACACCTAAGCTGGAACAGCTTGCTTTTCTGAAAGAATCTTTATTCTGTTAATGTATCTTGTGATATTGTCTATATAACTCTTGCTACTCACACTTTAAAAAGATATATTTTTATACATTTATGTTTATGTATTCTGGTTTGTATATTGTCTGATTCAGTCTATGTATGTATCATATTTGTGTTTGTTCTTTTATTCCTACAGTTTGAACACCTCCAAGATTCTCCTTAATTTTTTCTAACGTAGAATATATGATACATGTTCAGTAAATGATTATTGCTAATGATTAATAAAAATCCAGGAGTAAAATTAAGTGTTAGGGTAGATTATGTGGCCTCCAATTTCTATTGACGATAATAATAACTAGCATTTTTTTAGCATTTCTGAGTGTTAATTGTTGTGTACCATTGAGTGGTTTCCAACTCATAGTGACCCTGTATGACAGAGTAGAACTGTCCCATAGGCTTTTCTTGTTTATAATCTTTACAGGAGCAGATCACCAGGTCTTTCTCCCACAGAGCCACTGGTGGGTGTGAACCGCCGACCTTTCGGTTAGCAGCCGAGTGCGTAACCATTGCACCACCAGGGCTCATCTTTTAGTGTTAAGGACCATGAAAAAAATGATTTAGAAGTATTTTTTTTTCCTTTTAACTCTCACAACAGCTCTGTTAAATTTTACTCTTATTATCACCATGTTACAAATGGAGAAATTGAGGCTTAGGGAGAATGAGTGATTCGCTCAGGGCCTCCTAGCTAGTCCATAATTTGATTCAGGACTTAAACCCAGCTCTTTTCTCACTCCAAAGTTTGTTTTCCTAACTACGGCACTCTAAGAAAACTGCTTTTTGTTTTAAAAGGTTTTGTTTATTTACTTGTTTTTTTAAATTTTTTTTATTTTTAAGGAATGCTACCAGAAAAGCGCTGATAATTTGGTTAAAATCTCAGTCCAGGAAGAAATGCCTAAAAGAGCCACTTGATTTACTTCCTGTCTTTATCCGTTCTCAGTTTGAAGTATTAGTTTAAGAACCTATCTGCCCATAGCAGTGTATTCTACTTTGGCACAAAATCAGATTCTCTAACTGCTTCACTTGTGTCAGTTGTCCCTGATTTCAGGAGATAGTGCCAAACCATTCCTCTCGTGTGTTCTCAGCCCTGAAACTACCAAACAAGTTTATCCATTAAGTAATGCCAGGAATTGGTTAGCTTCCTGGAAACAGAATTTGTCAACCTGATAAACCAGCTCTTATAATAGCATCGTCCTCTCCAGAATTAGAAATGGTTTCTCCAGTCACGCTTGTCGATTTGATTTGGAAGGTGGTTGTGTGTGTGTGTGTGTCTGGTTTAATATCCAACAACTGAAATCCTCATTTCTAAGGGTAGGTACATTGATACTGAAAACGCTATGCATTCTGCTCCTAGTTTGCTGGATGCACCTTAGAAAACACCTATCTAGTCATAATCCTCTTTCTGTTTATCCGATTTACTGTTACAGTTGGCCCAATTAATTTAATATGTGTGTTATACTTAATAATACATATAAGCCAATTTAATATATAAGCCAGTCTTCCTAGTTGAGATGCTGTGATCTAGTTTTTAAACCTTGATTAAGAAGTTAAAAACAAAACAAAAAAATAAGCAAATTTGCTTTAAGGAGCCTATAGGGTAATTAATAGAAAATATATAATAATTGGTGAGATTTATGTATTTTAATTTTGACAGATATCTTTCTAGAGGTATCCACTTCTTCCTCATTCATTATTCCCTTTACCATGTGCTTTCAGTAGTACAGCTATGTGACTCTCATATTTTGAAGTGGAATTATATGGGAGACTACTTTATTGTTGCTTTTCCTGCAAGATTTAAATTTAATTTCACTTTTCTGAACAGGAAAAAATCTCTTCGTAGGAACCCTTCTCCTTCCTTTCCTGCACCCCCTCAAAGGGCAAAGGGGGCACCTGAGTACATTTGGTCTAGGAAGCGAGGAGACGCAGATAGCATGGGAGAAGAGAATGGAGTGATTCTGCTTCCTATACTTCATACTGTTCTTTCCTTTCCAAGGAATATTAGAGTATTTCCAAGAGCAATGATGATAAAGGGCAGGAGATAGGCACTCTCCTTGGGTGGAGTCTTTAGTACGTTCTTCTTTTAAGGTGTGCCCCAAGTGAGTCACTTGTCACCACAGCGAAGTATACCAACTTATCCCTCATGTTCCCTTCTAGATCAGCAGATTGTTTTCAACTCTTATTGACACAAAAAATAAACAATTTATTTATTTTTCAAGTCTGTTCAGTGCTGTCTGGGTGGATAAGGACCTTTTGAAGGACCTAGGAAAATTTTGCAAAACATTGCATTGGGCTGATTTGGCTTCTGGGTTTTCGCCAGCTGTCCTTAATACATGAGAACTCTAATACTATATGCTGTTTCAAGAAAAAGAGATTGAAAGTAATGCCACTAAGGCAGAGACATTGCATTGCTTGGTCAGTAAGGGTAGAAAAACAATAGAACTGTCTTTTGACTTCCCTCTGGGAAGCAGAGAGCCTATAAACTTGTAATGGGTTCGGGGTATTTAGAGGCTAGGCTTGTAAAACAACTTCTCTTCAAAACAGCTACATGAGGTCCTTGTTTGATACCTTTTAAAATGTGCTTTCGTACATGTGATGCTTTAATAGGTTTATGCTGACCCTGTCCCATAATCAGCTCTCTACCAACTCATCTTTTCATTCACTATTCTACCGTGCTGTGCTGAATTGTTCTTCACAGCAACTTCTCATCTCTTTCCTCGCTGAGTTTTTCTGGCACTGGACATATTGCTCTGCTTGAGCGTGCGACTGTGCATGCATGCACACGCACATCAATTAGTAAATACTGGTGCCAGAAATCTGATTGGGGAGCTGTTAAGAATCCTTTAAAATTCAAATTGACATGATCTGACCTCAGTTATCTGCTTTCAGAGGCATCAAATGCATGTTATAGTTGCAGGGTCTGTCATTTCACTTGGGCAGAATTCCTGAGTATTAGTCCTATAATCTGTGCAAGTACTTTTGCTGGTCTGTGTTTAAGTATCTTAGCCCATGTGTTCTCTTTTACTGCAGACGAACAAGAAGCGTTGGACTCGATCATGAAGGATCTGGTGGCTCTCCAGATGAGCCGACGTCCCCGGCTGCCTGGATATGAGACCATGAAGAACAAGGACACGGGTCACCCAAACAGGCAGGTGTGTGTGCTAGCTAGATTTGTTGGGGAGGGGTTTTCAAATGGGAAATATTTGAGAAGCCAAGGGTACTTTAATAGCAGGCTTGGATGCTGTTGGCCTCTTTCTTTCACAGTCTGTTAAACGCTAAGTGGTATGTACCAACCAAGGTGTGGGTGCATGATTGGAGTCCAGAACCTTGTGCATCTGACCCCAATAGCTCTTCATCGCTTATTGTGGAGACAGTTTTCATATAAGTCTTTTATTCTTTTTCTTTACTGATTATTTGGCAGATATTTTATCCAGATTCACAATTCCTAACTCAGAAAGTTTTTAGCTTCCTTTAGTTATACATACTCAAGAAAAGTTAATTTTGATATTAGCTTACATAAAATATAACTAGGAAGGGAAAAGTATTTACTTATTAAAAGGTCACCTAATATATTCGAAAGGCAACAAACAACAATAGTTGTTTCCCCTTATGAACTCAGGTAATTTGAGAGTACTTGCTTTAGTGGAGTTGTCTGCTTCTTAAGGAAAACAGTTCTTATTTTTGGTGATATTTAACTTTATGTGCTCTTGAGAATCTTCTCAACTCTAGTGTCATCTGCCTCCTTGTTGCCTGGGCACTTAGGCCTGCAGAAAGAAGTGAACGAAGGAGAGCTTTCCTCCCCAGTGGGTTTCCAGCACTGTATCAGTTGGACATGTTTGACGAACATTTTTCCATGACATTCTCTCTTGTGGTTCTCTTTGTTATCAGCGAACCCCCTCTTTCCTCCTTTGCACCTTGTCCACCAATTCTTCAGCAGTACCCTTGGTTCTTGGAGAAAGTATAAGGCCCTAGAAGGTTGTCTGTCTGGGGTCTACTAGATGTAGCTCCCAGAGTATTTCCTGCCTTTGGAAATATTAGGGCCCTGAGTCCTTTTGTTTCATGTTATAACAGAAGGATTAGTTTCAGAAGCTGCTTTTATTTTTGTGGTTACCTTATAGAACTGGGGGAACAACATACTAGGGCCCATTCTTGTATTATTTTCATATAGTATTTTAAGGTCTGTTTAATTATGTGAGTTCTTACTTGCTGCAACTGGTTTGCATTCAAAGCCGCTTTTGGAAGGAGCGTTCTTACCAGAAGTGAGTCCCCTCCCCCAGGCTTGAGCCTAATGACCTCACTTTCCTTCCTGTCTTCCTATGTGGAGTGTGCTTGCTAATACGCTCCAGTCAGCTGATCTTTCTCCAAACTGGACTGTTTGTGTGGATATCAGCTAGTGGGTGAATAGGGGAGGCTTTCTTGAGTTGGAAGGCTCAGAGGGACCAGGCTGGTAAGAGGAGGGACGGAGTGGTTCCCAGTAATTACTTGAAAAGGGGTATTATCTTTTAGGAATCCTGCTTAGAGCCTAAAATCTGTTATAAGAAAGTCCTGATCTTTTACTGTGCCTGCTACTGTGTCAGTGGAATAAAGTGCTTATGAAGGGACAAGGCTGTGAAAAGGAGTACTGGTTAGGAAATAATCCTGTCGAGGTACTGGCTCTGTGGACCCGCAATTTACTTGAATAGCGTCAAACTTTTTCTGTTGCATGGAGGATATAAATTAACCTCAGTTTTTTGTTTTTAAAGAAAAAGCACAACAGCAGCAGCCCAGCCCTTCTGAACAGCCCCACAGTAACAACAGGCTCATGTGCAGGGGCCACTGAGAAAAAGAAATTTTTGGTAAGGAACTGAATCAACCCTTAAAGCTGAAATGTGCTTTTTAGTCTTGATACTAGTGCTGGAAGAGTGTAGAATTCATTTCCCAGATGAGTTGTTTTACAGCGTCTGTAGGGAGCGCTGGTTACTGATGACCTGTATGTTCTGTGCCTCTGGTCGCCATTTCTCACAACAGTGTTATTCATAAGCAGCCTCGCTTGGTGCTTCCCAGTAAGCTTTCTGTGATGATGGGAGTACCTGTGTCAGTGCTCTCCAGTATGGGAGCCACTAGTCATATGTGGCTATTGAACAACTGAGGAACTGACTTTTAAATTTTATTTAATTTAAATAGTCACATGTGGCTAGTGACTATCGTATTGGTCAGCACAGCTTTATGTACTAAATATAAGGGACTATTGATTTTTTGGGCAAGAAATTCAGTATATACTGGGAGATTCATTGGTACCTTCATTCCTTTCACACAGGCAACAAATTTCTAGGCATTGTGATAAACTCATCGGTGGGAATCCTATCTTAGGATTCTGTTCCAGGGGGAACGGAAGATCTGGGGGAAATATGAAGCCGTAGAACATAGCTTTTTAGAAATTGAAGCTCAAATTTTATGCTAACGTTGAATAAAAGGGCAATGAAAATGTCCTAATAGCTTTTCCCAGTAATGAAGTCAAGGTAGTAGAATGGTCTCTTCTGGTAAGTATAGTAGAAGTCCAGCTTCTGACCAGGAGAGGTATTCTTCAGCAAGATCCTGAAAGCAGAAAGAGGGAACAAGTCTGGGTGAATGTAGGGTTGGGGATGTGCATGTAGAGGGGGTGTTTACAGCTTAGTGTAGTAAAAAGAACCTGGCCTAGGAGTCCAGAGATGTTGATAATCCATTAACGTAGGACTTTACAATTTACAGAGTGAATTCACATTTACTATTGTTGTTTTGTTAGCTTAGGCCTGGGATAAGATGAAACCATTTTCTCCATTACCAGTTCTTCCACCAGAAGGCACATGCTTAGGAAGAAGAGGAATGAAAGATCAAAACCTAGTTTAAATGGCTAAGAGATGCCACGTTGGGCATTGAGTCGAACTAAAGATTCAAATTGCGGAGTCCTGTTGAAAGTAACCAAGTATTTTGGCTAGCAGGGTAGGTGGTTTATTCAAGGGTGAAATGGTGTTGGCAGAGGCAAACAGCCCTTCAGTGTGAGAATGGCAGTGCTGGCTACAAGGCATAGTTGAGATCGATACAACCTTGTGGGGCTCAAGCTTGGCACAGCAAGAAAGCCAGAGGAGCTGTAGGCTTATTGACAGAATTGTTTGGGGGCTGAGGCCTGGAAAACCTTATTTAATATCTCTGCTTAGCAAGACTTTCCTTTTCTCTAAGTAAACAAGCTCTAAGTAAACGAATTGAAAAAGAGAATGCATCTGAGAACAAATAAGCATTCTGAACAGCTGTGGAAGTAGATGGGCAATGAGGTGCCAGCCATAAACTATGTGCTAGGAGGTGGGATCTGTGTTCTCTGTATTCTCTTTCCTGTACACTGGGTCCCTGGTAGCCTGCAGTGTGATGAGAGCTGGCTGACTATTCCTTGATGTTTGACACATCCTGAGTATGGCTAGGAACTGTGGTTGGTTTTGCAGGCCATGATGTGCAACGTCCCTTTTAGCAGTCATCATCTCAGTGCTTTATCAGTGGGCGCTAGTCCTCTGTGGAGTGGATAGTTTCATGTAGTGAGAAGAGCACTGCCTAGGAGTCATTGAGTTGTTGGTATCCATTAATATAGGATTTTACAGTTTACAGAGTGCTTTCACTCTTGCCGTTGTACAACAACTATAGCATGTGAATAATACTTTAAGGTTTACAAAGCTCTTTCACAAAGGTATTGAGTAGAGCCAGGAAGCAAACCTAGATCTTGGGACTTTTGTTCACAGTAATTTTACCATTTGTAAGTCATATAACCTTCCTGAACCATAGTTTTTCCATCTGAAATATAGACATAGTAATACCCACTGAGTCTACCTCTTAAGGTTGTTGTAAGGTCAACAGCAGAGTGTAAAGCACTTCGTACATTGTAAAACGAATGTACAAATGTAAAGCAGTGGTGATAACATCACTTCTGTGATGTTCTGGTATTGTGGGTATGAGCTCTGGTGAAAACTTCTAACCAGGTCATGGAACTGAAGGGGTTAAAGTTTTTCTACCTTTACTGGATTATCATTACTGTCTGTCTGATGGTCCTTTGCAAACTTCTGAAGCTAGCCTAATTTTTGAAAATTCTAGTGGAGGAAGAAATATAATTCTTATTTCCACTGATCCCTATTTCCCTTGAATCTTATCAAAATGGTAAGTAGAGGCTTTGAACAGACCCCAGGGTCTGGGTCTGACCCTCCAGATGTTCATTGGTGGGTGCTTCGGAATGAAAAAGCTCCTTTCTTCATAGCAAGCACAGGCAGGGCAGGACCTTGGCTGTCAGTTCCAGAGGAAGAGAATGCCAGGAGCTGTTCCCCAAGCAGGATCAGGGATTGAGCAGACTGCCTTTTGCTGTTCCTGCAATAGACCTGGCTCTTCAGGACCTCCCTTCTTTTTCAAGGGTTGTTATGGGCTGGCTAGTTTGAAAATAAAACGTGTTGAAAGCAACACAGAAGCCTAGCATTATATTTTGTGAGAAAGTTACTTTATAATCTTTTCTGTGATCTCTTAGGGCTTTTCTGAGTCATATTTACAAATAAAATGTTTATTTTAGTTGCCTTTTTTCTCCCTCTCATTTATTTACTGTCTTTGGCAAAGTAAAGACTCCAGTGCCAAAGACATGGGGGGTATATAGCAAATACAGGGTAGTGGGAGCAATACAGAATCAGGGAGAGGGTATGAGGGATAATGGCAAACTGAGACCTTTGCCAGGTCACATTAGTTCACAACCTTTGTCTAAACAGTTTAATTTTTCTGGATTCTTGAGAGCACTCTTGGGTTACGTGTTCAATTGTCAGTTTCAAACTTTGAGAAGGTCGTATTTCTGCCTAACTTAGGTGTCATTGTTGGTTACTCCTGTTGACCCTGCTGAGTTCCCGAATCTGTAGTGCAGCCTGGAGGCCTGCACTGCCTGTCTCTCTGGGCGTGGCTCTCAATAGTCCTCTCACCAAATTGGCTGTGGTGGGCCAGGGGACTTGAGCCTGCCTAGACCTGAATTTTTGTACAGGAACTTTTTTCTCAGAAGCTGTAGTACCTCTTCATTCAGTTCAACATGTGCCTATAGTCAAGCTTCTTAGATACACAAAAGAAATATAAGTCATGTTCCCTGCATCCCAGGAAATAGGAAATGAGAAATACACATAATGCGAAAAAGAAGCTAAGGTAGGATGTGGTTGTGCCTAAATGTATGCTACAGATAGTAAGTGCTATGGGAGGCCAGGAAGTGAGGATGAGCTTGGGCCGAAGGCATTATGGATCACTGCTGGAGGAGGTGGCACTTGAACCATGCTATGAAGGATGTGTAAACATTTGTTGTTGGTGTTGTCTTGTGCTGTCAAGTGGATTCTGACTCATGGCGACCTCATGTGTTAAACAAAGTAGAACTGCTGCATAGGATTTTCTTGGCTGTAATCTTTATAGAACGAGATCGGCAGACCTTTTCTTCCCTGATGTGCTGGGCGGAGTCAAACGACAAACCTTTTGGTTACCAGTCAAGTGCAAACTGTGCCACCTGGAGACATTGTTAGGTAGAAAGGAGGAAGGGTGCACTGTAGGTTGGAAAACAGACTGTTAGCAGCCTAGGGAAGGAATGAATATGGCATAGTTCAAGAAATAGGATGGGCATTGATCTGGCTGGAGAGGAGGGTTCCTGTGGGGAGCAGTGTGAGATGGTTAGGTAAACTGAATGAGCCTGCATTCCAGCAGATTCTGAATGATAGTGAGGATTTAGACTTTATTCTAAAGGTCATGGGTGTCACTGATTACTTTTTTAACAAGGAAGGGACGTGAGTGGGTTGGAAGGAAGAAGCCGAGAGGTACAGAGGCTGCTTTAGGAATCCAGGAGTGAGGGGAAAGGGGCTCAGTGAGGGTAGTGACAGGGAGAATGGGAAGCAAGGTCTCACACCTTGCTTGGAAGGGAGAATTGGAACTTGCTATGCTCTGAGGGGGAAAGGAAGGAAAGAATCAAGCAGAACTCAGAGGCTTGAGCCTGTGTAGATGAGAGAGTGGTACCATCATTAGAAATAGTGACACTGAAAAGGGAGGCTAGTTTAGGAGGGTGGTTGATGCAGACACAAATGGATAGATTGAATTTGAGATCACAGTGAAAAAACTCTGAGTGTGTGTGTGGTTTTTGTGGGTCTATAATCCCTTATCTGCAATTCTGAAGTCCAAAAAATACTGCAAACTAAAAGTTTCATTTTGTTCTGTAAATTTGTAGCAAACTCATTTGGCAACAAAACTTTGCCTGAACTGACACAGGATTATCTATAGGCTTTATTCCACTCGTGAATAGTCATAATTTTCAGTGAAAGATTAGGATAGCCAGGATAACTAGCTTGTGTTGTGTTACCAAATAAACCCCAACATCTCAGTGAGTTTAACAAATAAAAGTTTATTTCTTGATCATGCTACCTGTCCAGTGTGAGGGAGGAGAGGATGGTACTCCCCACAGTCATTTAGGGACCTGGATTAATGGAGGATCCACTGTCCTATAACTGTACCATCTGGAACACATGGCCACTGAGGAAGAGAGTGTAGAACTCAATTCTCTTTCCAGCTCTTGGTCAGAACTAGTCACAAGGCCCCCAGCTAACAGCAAGAGAGGCTAGGAAATGCAGGGGTGTGTGTGGCATCCTTGTGAGCATTCTGCCTCTGCCAGGGGAGTGCTGTCCCAGACACCCTGGGGGCCTCACGTGCTGTGGAAAAGGTACACTACATTACCTCTCTAAATCCAAAAACGTTTGCATTCTGAAACACTTTTTGGCCCCAAAGGTTTTGGCTAAAGGATTACGGACCTGTAGTAGTATTTATTGAGCACTTATTATATGTCAGGTACTACTCTAATCTCTTTAAGGAGCCCTGGTGTCACAAGGGTTAAGCACTTGGCTGCTAACCTAAAGGTTGGCAGTTAGAACCTACCAGTGGCTTCACGGGAGAAAATATTTGGCGATCTGCTTCCATAAAGATGACAGCCTAGGAAACCCTATGGGGCAGTTCTACTCTGTCCTGTAGGGTCGCTATGATTTGGAACTGACTCAACAGCACACAACAACATTCTAATCTCTTTACCCAAATTATATCATTTAATTCTTTCGATAACTCCATGAGATACGTACTATCATTATCCTCACTTTACAGATGAGGAGACTGAGTCACAGAGAGGTTAAGTAACATGCTCAGGGTCACAGCTAGGAAATTGTAGAGCCAGGATTTGAAGCCAGGCAGTTTGACTTTAGAGCTGCATTCTTAAAAACTATGTATCTGCCCCAAATATGTGGCAGGCAGATGAAATTTTGATTGAGGGATTGAGGTTGGACATAGAGATTTGGGAATCTTCAATTTAGAAGTTGACAGATTAAGTTTATCCCATTGGAGAGAAAGTGTGAGGAGAAGGGGAGAAATCCCAGAGGCCAAAAGTCCAAACACTGAGGAGTGGTCACATGTTGTGGGAGGGTTGGGAAAGGGCATGAAGAAGAGGAACTAGCAAAGAAGCAGAAGTGGTTAGAGTGGTTCCCTGGGCTGGGATAGAGTCACAGAAGTCAGTGGGGGAGAGAACCGAATGAAAGACTATGTGATCACCAGTGCGAAATGCCTCAGAGTGGTCAAGGAGAATGGTTAGCGGGAAGGAGCTGATTAAGTTATCTTTATCTAAACTTTCCTTATCCATTACTTGTTATGGTCAGCCTGACAGGGGAAACTGAGATTTAGGAACTAGGCAGATTTGAGCATACCGTGTGGCACAGGGAAGCTGATCATGGGCCTGCATCTTCCTCTGGAAAAGTTGTCAACACATCAGAGAAGGGATTTGGTGCCTTAGACATCTCTGTTTACACGGCTTACTACTCATAGGCTTGGTTAGTTTTAGGTAGGAGTGATTTGTGTGTTGAAAGGAAAATTTAATCCCCTTTCTGACTAAATTCACGTAGACTAGTGCTTGGATTATGACTCCACCATGAAATAAATTTAGTTTCTTCAGTCCCGTAAATGGACTGACGGGGTTCCTTCATAAAAACAAACAAACAAAAACTCATTGCCATCAAGTCAATTCCAACTCATAGCGACCCTGTAACCCTGTAGGAAGAGTAGAACTGCCCCACAGGGTTTCCAAGGCTGTACTCTTTACGGAAGCAGACTGCCACGTCTTTCTCCTGTGAAGCAGCTGGTGGGTTCAAACCACTGACCTTTCAGTTAGCAGCTGAGGACTTAACCACTGTGTTACCAGGCCCCCTTCAGGTTCCTTCATAGGTGTGTGTAAATGTAATGTGCCAGTGTATGAATGAGGGCTACACCAAAGTGTGCTGGGCTGTAGGCAAGAATAGGTGAAAGGACATGGTAACCCCACTGAGAGAACACACAAGGCTACCAAGTGCAGTTAGTACTTGGAAAACTCCAGAGCCAGTTGGGGAGGTAGAGTGTTTGAAGTTAGAAATGGCATGTCAGAGCTGAGCAGCATTTCTCGGGCACCATACTTTGGAGAGCCTTTACCATGGTGACTGCTTTTAGCATTTCAAGGGAAAGGAGAAAGTGAAAAAACTGCTGTCAGTCATATTCCTTGAGTCTCCACAATGACTTCCTCCACAGCACTGCCCTGCCTTCCTGGATGTGTACGCGCACATACACACACACTCAGACTCATCTAGAATTCAAGCAAGATGGCAATAAGTTGCCCGCCATTCTACCTCCGCCATCCCTATCCACCCACAGCCTCAGTCATAGGCTCCACTGCTGGTTCCCCAAGCTTGCTGCATGACTGGTACCCAGTCTCATGGCTGTGCTCCATTACTCACCCCAGATATGGGGAGCTTTCCATCTCCTCCACCATGAGTTCCAAAAAAATAAGGTCACAAAAGATCCTTTGATAGTCCTGCATCTATGGGTAAAATAAGCCTCGTTTGCCTGTGTGACACTTTAGTTGTAGCATAGCGTGGTAGTTAAGAGCTAGACTTCCAGGGTTCAAATCCTAGCTCTGTCCTTATAAGCAGTGTGACTTTAAGGAAATTAACCTCATTGTAACTCAGTTTTTTCTGTAAAATAGAGATAATAATAGTACCTGTGGTGAGGATTGATTTAGTTAATATATGTAACATGCTTAGAACAATGCCAAGTACATAGTAAATGTTCAATAAATATTAGCTGTGCTCATGTATTACTAATGGATGAAGTGGTCCATATTAAAGGATGAGCCATCACATTGCAGGCCTGTTCCTCAGAGGAGTCTTTCTGTCCACTGTTTAGTGTGTGAACTTTGTAGGGACACTTAAGCTCTTTGAGCCCTAATTTCCTCATCTTTAAAATAGTAGGGTTAGTTGATGGGAAATTTCCTTTCAGCTCTTATATTCTAATTCATTGATTCTCAAAGTGTGTTCTGAGGACCCCGAAGGGGTTCCCTACACTGTTTCAGGGGGTCCATGAGGTCAATACTATTTTCATAATAATACTAAGATATTATTTGCCTTTTGCACTCTCTGTCTGTCAAGAATGTACAGTGGAGTTTTCCAGTGGAGAGGCTGCATGACATGTGATATCGCGGTAGATTGAATGCAGAAGCAGATACGAGAATCCAGCTGCCTCCTGTTAAGCCAGACATCAAAGAGATTTGCATTGTTCACACTAAATATTTTTTGAAATATGTGGTCATTAATTTTTAAGAGTATAAATTAGAATCACTGATCCAATTCAGTGGACATCCTTTCTGGGCCTGAAGAGAATTCCAGCCCCCTAATCTCTGGAGAAAAGGGAGTCCTTCATGCATGCACACTACCTTTGCAACCCTCGCCCTTTTCTGCCATCTGCTCTGTCTGCTGTATGTTCGTCACCTTGAGATACTCTTACATCTTCTTCTTTTTTCCAAGCCACAGTTATGCATTTGTCTTTCCCAGTATAGTTTTCATTCACTGACTATGTACTTTCTCTCCTCCATCTCTATACTTTGCTGGTTTCTTGACAGTCTTCTTTTTCCTCTTTACCTGTTCTTTTCTTCTGTAATATCTCTTCTCTTTTCCTGCCATTTTATAACTCCTTCAAGTTGTTGGTTTGCCCCTTTGCAATATCTCTCCATCCTTGATTTGCTTGTTAACATTCTAACACTTTTACTTCCTCTTACTTCTGATGTTTACACTGAGTTGTTCATCCATTTCAATTTATTCATCCATTTAACAAATATTATTAAGCACAAACATTAATATGCCATTCCTTTTGCTTTGTACTGGGCGAACAGAACAAGATAGACATGATCCTGGCCCTCATGGAGGTTACAAGCTACCCATGATGGACATTTTGGATAAGACTGGGGACAATGTATGAGGCTAATTTGTCCAGGGTCCCACTTTACCCCCACTGAGATAACCTTGGGAGGATCTTGGAAACCAATAGTAGGAGTAACAGTAACAGCTGCAGCAGTAGCAATCATTTATTGCACATTTACTGTATATCAGGTATTTTACTTTATCTCATTTAGTTCTCATAGCAGCTCTATAAATTAGGTATTTTTAGTCCCACTTTTCAGATGGAAAAACTAAGAGGATAAGTAAGTTGCCTAAGTCACATCAGTACCAAGATTTCTTTTTCTATTCATTCACATCTGCCAAGAAGGAAAGGTATCCTGGCCAGGAAGTGGTGTGGTGGGGGGGAAACTCTAGAGCCCGTTGTGGAAATAGTGTATGAAGCTAGAAATGGCATGTCAGAGCAGAGCAACATGAGCTAGGGCAGCTCCCTAGAGATCTTGTTTTAAGACTTTGTTGCCCCTGTGATTAGAACTGGAAGGCTGCAATGTATTGGAAAGGAATGCCTATCTAGGTAGAGAAGCTGGAGCATGAGCCACCAGGGATGTTTGTCTGATGTTGCTAAAGGATCGCCCAAGGCTTACCTGGGAATAGCAGGAGCAGAACATGCCAGAGAAACCTCTAACTTGTCTATCATTCTTTTTGGCAGAGTGACGTCAGAATCAAGTTTGAGCACAACGGGGAGAGGCGGTAAGTCTGCCTTCTGATCAGTGGTTGTGTTCATGTGTGCTGAAGTTCTCAGGAAGCATCGAGGTCATGGAAGCCATTTCCCTGTAGTGATCCCTGTGCATAATGGGGTTGATGGGCATAAATGGGAGTTTCACCCTTGGCTTGGCCTACCAAGTGAATCTGTTTCTGCTCTGAGGATTGGAAGTCATTTCAACTGCTGACTCTTACTTGCTGCTGTATTCTGCTGATGTTTTACTAATCAGCATAATGCCATTATGCTGAGAAAGGAAGCCAGGACTCCAGTTCTACTCAGGCACCTGGACACTCTGCCACCTGTGGGCATTAAAGGGAGATCAGGATCCTCCTGTGACATGGTACCATTCGTATCCCTGGTAGAGTAACCCTGACTTTGTCCACTTTAGGCGCCAGGTTGGTGAATTAGAAGTGTCTTTATCGTGTCCCCAGGTCGTGGGAAGCTGCATCAAGCCATCGTTTGTGAAAGATTTCAGATCCTTTGAGGATATAGAAAGGGGGAGTTTTTCATCTATATTCTGAATCTTACCTCTTTAGGGAAGCGAAAGTAATATTACAAAACTTTTGTGTCCTTTCTCCATTTTCAGTATTTTAGGTTTGTTGTTGGTGTTTTTATAGGAAGTCAAAGTAGAAGTTCTCAGTGGAGAAAAATATGACTCTACTTAATTTCTCAAGTTATTTAAGGAAAAACTTTTTAAAAACATACAGAACTCTGGTTGTGGAATATTTGGGACACTGTGTTTGCATGCTCGTGTGTGTGTGCATGGCACATGTACACATAAACCAAACCAAACTGAACCAAACCCATTGCTGTCGAGTCGATTCCGACTCATAACTACCCTGTAGGACAGAGTAGAACTGCCCCACACGGTTTCCAAGGCTGTAAATCTTTATGGAAGCAGACTGATGCATCTTTCTTCTGTGGAGCGGGCCAGTGGGTTTGAACTGCCGACCTTTTGGTTAGCAGGTGCGTGCTTAACCACTGGGCCTCCAGGGCTCCTTATGTGTGCACGTAAATGCTTTTAATATCTATTTCCCACTCTTTGCCTTTCTCCTCTGTTGACATCCTCCCTCACATCTTCCTTTGCTTTGAGTACCTGGAGAGTCTGAGAGCATACCCATGAGGATGAGGGCCTCCCACTTTTAAGAGTCCCACCACAGAACCTTAGTACCTCCAAATATTCTTTGTACTGGTAGTACTATCCTGCTGGCAACTTTCAGTCCCCTTTGAAGCCAGCTCCAAGGGAGATCTATGACTGCTGTTCTTCCTTAAAAAAATACACTCTCAGCCTGCAAGGTTGTCATAGGCTGCCCAATGCGGAAAGTGTGGTCTGCTGAGCCAGGGTCCTGCTGCTGCCATGGGCTCCAGGGCTGTTCCAGGCCCGGAGGGAGGAATGTCTTTTGAGCTCTGTCCCCAGCTACTCCTCCTGGGTCCTGCCAGTAGCAGGGAAGTTAAATTGTCACCACATTGTTGCTGCTTTTCACACGTCAGACCTGACTTCAATGTAGGTTTGGGAGGGAGGCTAGACTTGAAGCAGCAGTTTTCAGAAGCAGATAGGAAATCAAAAGCTCAGTTGTGCTGGAGCCTAATTATGTAGTTACACTCTCCTGAATTCCCTGTTCCTGAAGTGGTATGCAGTTACAGTGAGCGGACTAACACTGAGAAAGTGTATGTGTTTGGTTTCAGAGAAGCTGCCGGATCAAAACCACAAATATTTAAGGTGGTCAGGCAGGAATGGCCGTTTGAAGCCCTGAGTGGCAGAGAGTTGGTATCAAAGTTTTGAAAACTGCGTTCTCTTTTTACCGAGCTGTTTTCAGGAGCCATGGCATTTTACTGTTTGTACTAGGTGTGGAATTGAGGACTTTATAAAGGACTTTGGTGCAGGGACGCCAAGTTCAAGCTCCTAAGGTTTCACGTATTTCATGTCTTAGGATTTTGTAGAGAATGTCATTGTGGGCTTTCTTTTAATGAGAAATGTGAGCAGTATCTAGTTAAATATTGTAGGCCCTTGTAGAATCAGAATTGACACAAAAGAGGAAAGAAAAAGTAACTTTTCCCATTCATCTATGCCAGGTATCCATTCTGGTGGGCTGACTTTTCCTTTGCTTTGAAAGGGTGAGGACCAAACCCCTGCCCCTCCTCCCTCTCAGCCCCAGGAGGGCAGAAGAGAAGGACTGTAGATTAGGATCTCCTTCCCTTTGAAAACCTTAACTCAGAACATGACAGGGTGGTTGTCACAGGTGTTAGACCCCTCTTTGAAGCAGTGACCTAAAAATGCCTGTTATTCAGATGATGTGATGGCAGCATCCTAGATTTTATCAAATCTAGAAGTCCTGGTTTATGATCTTGACCAGACTTTTGGACTGCTTGAGGGGATTTTGAATGGCCCATTGCCAGGCCAAATGCAGGAAAATTTATCTTTGAGCCTGATGACCTTTTCCAGCAGTGTGGTAGGGACTTCTGAGTGGTCTCCTCATATTTTATCCAGAAGGGCTGGCCCCTTTTGAGCTGTTGCTGTGGCCTTGATTAAGGGAATATAATTTACTATTAGGAATTAATGGAAGGCCATTTGTGGGACAAAGAACTTGGTTCAGCTCTTTGACTCTGGTTTCTGAAAATAACCGAGCAGTCAAGATGCCTTTGTTTTCCAAAATAGCTGGGCAAGTAGGGACTATACAGGCCCCACACCTGGTGGACTAACTTCAGGAAAGGAGGGAGGCCTAATGCAGTCATACATACTCATTATAGGATCAGTCACTAACTATGCATAAAGGCCCAGGTCATGCATATTCACTGGGGTCCCAATGACTAGGGGACCCATACCCTGGTGGCGTAGTGGTTAAGAGCTATGGCTGCTAACCAAATGGTCGGCAGTTCAAGTCTACCAGGTGCTCCTTGGAAACCTTACAGGGCAGTTCTACCCTGTCCTGTAGGGTCACTATGAGTCGGAATCAACTCGATGGCAGTGAGTTTGGTTTTTTTGGGGGTTTGGGTGGGTGAGAATACCCATGCATGGGAGAGCGTGGCACACCCCTGGGGATAGTGGAGGCCCTCTGCTGGGACCTCTACCAGACCTTGCCTGATGCATCTCTTCACTTGTATCTTTTCTGGTTATAATAAATGGGTAACTGTAACTATAGGTTATAGTTTCCGTGAGTTTTATGAGTCATTCTAGCAAATTATTGAACCCACTGGGGTCAGTGAGAACCAACAGAGAGAATGGTGTTTGCCTGTTTGGCAGGGACTGGAAGGACAGAGTCCTAACTTCTGGAGTCCCAAGTCTGGGTGGTTAGGGTTAGAGAGAGAAAGTGCCACGTGGGTGCCTGGTGTCAGAATGATGAAGTGGGAAAGTGGGAATATGAGTTATCTTCACATTTTGGAAATTAGCCTTATGTCAGCTCTTAGTCATAATACCATTCTTTCAAAAGACTCCAGAAAACACCCGTATCTCGACAGTACGTAACAGTATCACTGTTTGGGACAGTTGATTTGAGGGAAAAAATACAAGGGTTACAGTATGGATGGATTGCCTGGTGGAGACAAACTAATAATATAGCCAGCAGTATAATTTCCAAAAATGAAAGGTGGTGATTGATGAAGAAAAAGTTATGGAGGAATTATCTTTGAGATGTTAGGCTTTGCGTGAAGTCTAAGTTATAATTTATAGTAATATATTATCAGCGTTGTCCACTAGAAGTTTCTGCTATAATGGAAATGTTCTTTATCTGTGCTCTCCAATACAGTAACCACTAGGCCACATGGCTAGTGAACACTTGAAATGCAGCTAGTGCGACTGAAGAACTGATTTTTAAATTTAATTTTAATTGAAATAGCCACGTGGCTGATGGCTACCATGTTGGATAACGCAGTTCCAGATGATGAAGGCTTTTATGCTGCCTACTGATTTAAACTAATCTGTTAGAGAAGAACATGAAAGAAATTATCTGGTCATGTTTCATTAAAATCCAGTGGCTTAAATCCCTCTTTCCTGTGGCTTATTGCTTCTTCTTCTGGTTATACCACTTCCCACTCTGGGGAGAAGGGAAGACACAAAAGAACCAAACACTTCTCCCTGTCAACATGGAGGAGGGCAAGAAGGGCAGAAGCTCCATGGCTGAGTGGTGCTACTCCATGACAGACTAGTATGACTCCATCCAGCCTAGCATGAGGTGTTCTAATATTCATTTTTCTGATCACATTTAACATCTTTTCATGGGTTTATTAGCCATTCATAACTCTTCTGTGAATTCTCTCATCATGTGCTTTGCCTGTTTTTCTGTTGTTTGTCTTTTTCTTATTGATTTTTGCAAATATTTTCTCCAGGTTTGATGTTTGTATTTTTTAACTTTGTCAGTGGTTTATTTTATCATCAGAAGTTTTTGTTTTAGTTGCAAAATCTGTCTCCTTCCATTTTGACTTAAGTATTTCATATTATGCTTAGGAAGACCTTCCGACTCCAATTTTTGTTTAATCTTATATTTTCTTCCAGTATTTAAAAACATTTTTTTTAATATTCAGGTCTTTAATCAATTTGAGTTTATTTTGTGTACTTTTAAAAAACGGATAGCCAATTGTCCTACTGCTACTTATAGTGTAGTCTAAGTTAATATCTGTATACACACACATATATATGTCTTTCTGATACTCTGTTCTATTTCACGTACCTCTTTGCTTATTTTTGTTTTTACTAAATTTTAGAGTATTAGGTTGAACCCATATGAAATTGCCATTTTTGTACATCAAAAATGGTTGACTATCAGCAGTCTCATATAGTTCAACCTATTACATGTATTCAAGCTTTTTATTATGAAAATCTTAAACACACACAAAAGTAGGGAGAATATTATTCTGAACTGCCATGGACCTGTCACCCAGCTTCAACATTATCAGCATTTTGCCAATCGTTCTTTGTCTGTACCCCCTTTTAAATTTTACTGGAGTATTTCATAACAAATCGTATTTTAATATATTTTTGGACAAGTGTTTATCCGAATTAATAGAAGTTGTTCTTTGAATTGATCTAATCTCTAGAAAAGTCTCAATATCAATACTACTTACATGCCTGGGTATGTCACTGGTTAAAAAAGCTGATCAGTCATATAACCAACTCAAGGGGAATTCTTTTAACTCTGTGATGTCTAATTTTAGGAATTTCAATTCTGAACATAATCAGTATTGAGATTCCTGTGGAATCTCAAAAATTAACAACAGAAAAGACCTTTCAACTCCTGGAGTTGAGTCACTCAGGAGTTGATAACATGTTTTCAGGACTGCTGAAATCCCCAGGCTTTCTAGCTGTTTCCTAACTGGAGTATTTGGAACATCGTTTTTAAACCCAGTTGGCCTGCTATGATACTGAACTGCCATTGCTTGAAAGGTCCAAGCTGAAGTGGTAGAACAAATTAAATGTTTGGGACTGAGCAGTACTTGTGGATACTATTGGCAAACCTGAGGGGTGCTCAAAAGAAGGGTGAAGGGGTAAAAGCAGATAAGAAAAAGAAAAGAAAAATGTAGAGAAAGGTAGGCTGAATGAAAGACAAAAAGAGAATCATATGTTAAGAAGAAAGGGAAGATATCACTGAGAAGCCTAACTTCTGATATACATTTTAAATATGCACTAATGTTAAATATGGCTGATACACATTTTTTTATCTGTTTATTATTATTTTTATTTATTTTATTTTTTATTTTTTCCCATACAAAAATTTATACATTGTTATGTGACTCT